TTCTATCTCCCAGAATCGGCGGAGAGTCCGATGAATATCAATTTGAGCATTGTGACACTCAACCGTATGCTTAGTGCATGACTAGTGCATGTTCGTGGTAACCTCCAAACACAACCCAACCCAACTGCGTATTTTGAGCAATAAGGTTATTTGTGCGGCTACGACGTATTCCACTTAACAATACTTCGGCGTAAATTTCAGCATTAAGAATCATGTCGATGGATTGAGGAATGGTGAGCTTTGGATCCGCTAAATCCAGGTCGCTAAAATGTTGCAGCCCACTGGCTCCGATTCTCAACGTAGGAGTTATGTTGCCTACCCAAGGTAGTACGAGTGCTGTGCATGGCTTGTTGACGTTATTTTTGAGAGAATGTAAGGTGAAACTGACCAGACCTTTTACAGTGGCGACTCCGCTGCCGCTAGCTCCATTTATAGATACCTTAATATTCGATATGGGCAAATTTAGTAAATTGACTGAATACTCACTTACAAATGCTGCCTCTGCTCCACTGTCGAGTAATGCCCGAAGTACCGTTGTATGTCCACGTTCGGACCGCACTTCAACCAATGCGGTACCTAGTACTACTTGTGGAAGAGAGCATTTATGTTGTGTCTGAGTTACATGGTGTGCTGAGACAGGCCTTGTGTTTCCGGTAGCCGGGTTTAAACTAAAGTAATCATGCAACATGGTGTGATGCTTGGCGATACAGGTGTAACAACGCCTCTCAGAGGGACAATGAGGTTGCTGATGGTCACCTCGTAGGCAGTTTATGCATAACTTTTGCTTCAGTATATGGTGATATCGCTCGTGAGGCAATTGTTTTCGCCAGCCGTCACAAAACATAATAAAGTGCTTGCCGGAGCAGCTAGAGCAACGCCCAGATGTAGTATGGTAACCCGATAGTCCGTGTGTGGCGTTAGATTTCCTCGTCGAAGTTTCCTTTGCTTGGTGTTTATCTTCAGTGAAACTCTGGACTATCTCCAGAGACTGCGTTCGGCTTGCAAGAAACTCTTCCAGTTCCTTAAAGATAGGAATGCTTTCGTTGGATTTTAGGGAAATTTCCCATGCCTTTCTAGTGATAGGGTCCAACTTATGAACGATTATAAAAATCAACCAGCAGTGAGATGGCAGATACAAATTTTAAAGCCGCTGAATGCAAATTATGGAGACTGTTAAGTTGGAAGTTCTCAGGGCAGTTTTGAAAGCAGCAATCCTATGAGATGTAATCTATGCATGTATCTATGTGCGCGAAGTTAGGTTAGGTACTGATATTACACGTGGGCTTTAATGCTTGCGAGCAAACAACTTTTGTGGAGAATTCAACCGAGTTTGGTAAGGCACAGATGTTACATTTTTCCGGCAATGTAGACTTTGTTCCGTACTTTGATCGATGTAAATTCGCCGCTTCTAAAGCGAACTGTCTTTTCACTTTATGCTCTACACCAGAGACCGTAGATTCCCCGCAAGGGATGCCAATGTTTCAAATTCGTTATTTAAAGTTCAAATTCTTTATTGTAATAATTTGTGGTACTCATATCGTATGTAACATGAAATGTCTTATGATTTTACAAGTAAAGCAATGACTTGGAGTACTCTAACAGGACTGCTTTCCAAATTATATGAAAGTAAAAGGTATATGAAGGGATTGGCAAGGTTGCATTTTGGACACCAACTATGCCACTTAGTTGAAAAAAATTCGTAAAATTTTTTTTATTACCTAAATGCTTGAAGTCGTTTTGGTGAACTCGAAACGACGTCGTTGCTACGTCACTCTGGTGAAGTTGTTTGGGTGAACTCTAAACGACGTCGTTACGACGTCGCTCGTTTGGGTGAACTCGAAACGAATCCGTTTCTTCGAACCTAAAAGTTTTTTGAGGAACCTACGTTCTGATTGGACAAGTTCCACGCCAAAATTTTTATATATCTAAGCACAACTAAAAGTCATTCATTTGGATAGTAAACCGTTTTTATTATGAAAATTTTTTATCATGACAGAATATGGAATCCACAATGTACACTTGTGCTCAGAAAATTAAGCCACCTACATCTTTTTTTCAGTTATCATAATATTTTTCATATACATTTTTTTTCATAAAGGTATAGTTCACTCTATTGGCCTTATTAATAAAAAATAAAATTTGTGGTTATGAAGTTTTTTTAAATTTGGTAGAAAACTGTACTTTTACTTTAAATTTGGTATAAAAAATGTATGAAAAAAAAATTTATAATAATTGAAATACATATGTAGTTGTCTTAATTAAAAAAAAAAGTGCCTTTACAATGTTTGGGAAATTAATGTGATAAAATGCAATTTATTGGCCACCTTAATTTTAAAAATCTTACATATATCTACTACGTCGTGTCTACAAAGAGCTCCTTCAGGCATTGCGGAATTTGAGTAGTAAATAGTAGCTGATGGTATTTCATATGGGGAAAATTTTTCTGTACAAAGTTTGAAACCATAAACGAAATATTTACCTTGCTCTTTTCTAATGGCTTGAAATTTTTTTATATATACAATATGTATGTATGTGTACTGCACATTGCTTTAATTTTGAACTACATGGTCCTTGTTAAAAAATAAACCCAATTTCAATTAATTTTAAAGATAACTAAAATGAAGTAACAAAAAAATATATTTTTGAAACTTGCCAATATTTTTGACCCAGGGTGTAGTAATATATTAAAATTTTCGTTTGTATTGTATGACTGAATGTTTTCCATATTTTTCTTTTTAATTTATGTTTAAGTATTTATGTATATTTAAAAAACTTTGAAAAAAAATCAACTGAATTAAATTAAACTATTTTAAACTAAAAAAATGGTTTTTAATTTTCTAGCAATTTTGAGCATCGTTTTGCAGTTCGCTGGTATACCGTTTTAGCGGGCTGCAGGGGAGTCGTTTTTGCGACCTGCCGGCAAACTGTGCTTTTCATCCGACGGCGAGTTCGCCGGTGAGTCGTTTGCGACTGTCGCCGGCGAACAAATTGTTCACCAGAACGAGTCGGAAACGACGTCGTTTGGCAAATTGGGTATGTTGATTGCAGTTAATGTGGATCTGTTTTTCTTTTAGTACATACGTACATAGTACATAGTACATACGTACATAGTACATATGAATTATATTTTTCGTCATATCAGATCTGTACTGTTCGTTCGATTTTACAAAATGAAGTATCAAATTAAAGGGCTTGGCCTGTGGATGTGCAATAACTTCATATTTTTTCAAAAGAAGTTGCCACCTGAGAAAAAACTTAATTCAAATTACTTTTAAGTTAAATCAATTATTACACTATGAGTATCGATCGAAATGGTTTTGAGAAGGCTTTATTTCTTAATTATATGTAGGAGGGTTGGCAACAGTTTCAAAAAGCAACCTCGATTTAAATAAGGCAGAAAATTTTAAATGTATGTATATCGTGATATGGACGTCCAACGAAAGGGGTTGTGGTTTGAAAAAATTTTGCAAAGGGTAGCCACCTTGTTACAAAGTTAGCTTAAATATAAGTAAATAAATTACTGCGATGTGAATATTGTGGAGACCGATGCCATCTGCAGAGGGAGGCTGCGGTGGAGTGAACACCGCAAACTCTCCGCAACACGGGGAAGCACAGTGAATACCGCCGGCTCTCTAGAATACGAGAGAATACATACTTATATACCAAGATCTGTACAAAGAAGGTCGCGCAATGCGCGAAATAAACATTGCCTCTCTCTACGCACATCGTCCCAGGACGATTTATTGCTTTCACGCCTTCATGTCGAAAAAGCCACAAAACTTGACTTTTCACAGCGGCCAATTTTTGCGAAATGTTCATTTAAACTCGCTATATCTCAGACGTTTATGTATCGATTGATTGGAAATTTGTACACAATAAACTAGATTCTATTCTGAAGAAGATGAGTCTAACTACACTTCTTAATACTTATTTAAAACGAAATGGCGGATATTTTAAGATTTTTATAAAAATTTAAGTGGTTTTTACAAATGAAAAAGTTGTTATGAAGTTTAAAATTTTTGCGTTGTTTTAATGCGGCATTAAAGACAAATATATATGGACAATTTTGGGAAAGTTTCAAGTTTAGACAACAAGTAGTTCTAAAGTTATAACAATAATCGGGCGCCTCTAGATGACAAATATTTTTACATAGCACTTGTACAAGTAATTTTGTAAGTAATATTAAGTGAAATGTTGAAATGCATGAATTTATCAGCGTAATATAACTTATTAAAGCTCTACATAACTACATATGTATGCATATATATAATTACACACATAGTCAAAATAGTTATTCGTACAGTGATTGTTTTACAATATTCGTTAATTTTTGACGAAAATACTGTTCATATTTTACCAAAAACCATATAAATGAAATTTTCAAACTTTTTGCAAAACTATATACTATATATATTATACAAATTTTCATCAACATTTTGAATGACAGTTTTTAGAAAAAATTTAGTATGCAGAGTTGTAGCTCATTCAATCTCAGTTAATAAATCGCAAGCTTCAAGTCGCTTAAATTACCTTAGATTTTTTAGAATTTCTTTCTCAAGGGCGTTACATATTTTCTTCCATGAGCAAAATGTAGTTTTGCATGGAAGAAAGCGTTCAACACCATTGAGAAAAAAAATCTCAAAAATCAACGCAATTTTTCTATAAAAATTGTGAGTCAAAATTTTGAAATATACATAGATGGCAATTTGTAGAATTTTTTAAGTTTTGCAAAAAGTTTTAAAATGTAATTCGTATGCTTTTTGTTAAAATATGAACTATATTTTC